ATTGATTGATTGATTGATTGATTGATTGATTGATTGATTGATTGATTGATTGATTCATTCATTTATTTATTTATGTCTGTGGATGCTGGACAATCACTAAAGAGAGTGAAAATAAAATAGAAGCAACAGAAACGTGGTTTCTAAGAAGACTGCTAAGAGTATTGTGGAAGGAAAAGAAATAAAATGAGGTAGTACTTGATGAAGCCCATGTGGGACGCTCAATGTCAAAAACAATCACGAAATGACAAATGCTGTTTTTTGGACACCAGAATAGACATTATACAGGTCTTGAACTTCTAGCTCTCACTGGCAAAATTGAAGGCAAACGAGGCAGTGATAGGCCCAGAACAACATACTTAGGAAACCTAAACAAATGGGTATAAGAGAAAGATCAGGGAAACGAGGGCTCTCGTGGTCTAGCAGTACTGTGTTCGCCTCTTATTCAATAGGTCCCTGGTTTAAAAGCTGACAGCAACTGAATTTTTTTTTCTATAAAAATGTTCTCCTTTCACCTTTCCTGCTCTCTAATCTTGGTCTGTCGCCTGCTTACGTCTCTACTTTCTGCCCCCTCCCCCTCCATTTTTGTCCCCTCCTTTTTTTAAAATGTAAAAGCGTATTTCTGTGTGGATATTACCGGAAAACCTTGATTACAGGTACGGTTTAAAAAATGAAAGGTTCCAATACACTACAGCTTTGGATGCCACACGCTTTGGCGGCCATATTCTCATCAATATTACCTCTAAAACCATGCGAGCCCCCAAGATAGATGGGTATATTATTTTTTTCCACCAAAAGTAGCATAAAAGAACAAACTTTAGAAAATACCAGTAGCTCAATATTGAGCCCCAAGAAAATAAATAAAAAAGATGAATAAAATAGATAAATACATGAATAAATAAATTAAATAAAATAGAATAAAATAAAATAAAATAAAATGAAATAAATAAATAAAAAAATAAAATTAAATGATGAGCGCCTGATTTCACTGCATTGTGAAATAATAAATGTCACTATAATTAATAATACTATTTTTTTTCGTCTTCTTTGCGTTTCAGACAGTACTGTGCCCACCCCGTCCCTCACGGAAAGGCGCACAACCAAAAACCAGTTCCAGAAAACGGCGTCCTCGGTCATGAACTGCTACTCCAAATATGCCTCCAAGGGCTACTCGTTATACCAGGACTCGGTCATGTTGGGAGACAACCCTGCCTTCCAGGGAACCTTTAACGTGTTTACTTCCCTCAAGAAGGGACACTCATACTCGTGTGAAGCCAGCACCCTCTTCAAAACCTCCAACATGAGTGACACCACGTATCTGCCCGGCGCGAGTAAGTATCAGACGTTTTTGGAAGTAACTATATTTATACGAGTATTGGCGGCCATTTTCTCGCTAATTTTACCTCTGAAACTCCCGACCTCCTTCAGTCGCAAATATTTCGACTTCTATTCAACGTGATATGTGGATATTTTTTTTTAAAACCGAAAGGAAGGTTAATGAACTGGCTTTCAGATGATACCAATAACCCCATATGCCCAGAAATTGAGGAACGCCTGATTCCACCTCGTGGTGACCCGTAATATTACCGTGTTGGGTTTGAATCACGTCAGGGGATCTTCGACGTTCTGTCTTTGGGAAAGGAACTTTACACAAATTTTTCCTCACTTCATCCAGGTGGGGTTGTGTTCCCGACTACAGATGGCGAAAGATCTTGTCAGTTTGTTAGTGTTTGAGCACGAGAAATCAGCAGCTTACACTGTATGCTTCCCGGGAAGCCGAGAATGTTTCTGACTGTTCTAGTAATGGTTGTACAGCACATGGAACAAGCTGCAGAGTGTGGATATGCGCTATATAAATGCAAATATTATTGATTATTAACGTAAAAAGTGAGGTGTGTTGACAAAATGAGCTACTTCTTTGGGATTTTAGTGATATGGAAATTGATACTTCAACTTTATTGGTGGAGTTTGTACAATGTGTAAATGTGAAATAAAAAAGACACGGTAGACTTGAACAAAATTGCATCAAACTGAAAATCTATAAATCTGACCCCAGAGTTGATTTTCAGCCGATATCTCCTTTCTTGGACGGTGAGAAGTAACTCATTTTGTTGGGTTTTCCAATGAAAAGCATGGGGATCCGGAGATACAGCCTTGGACACTCTTTTGTGAGAAAAATGCATTGATTACTTATTTTGTACAGTGTTCTGGCACTTGCTACAACACAAATGCTACAACATTCCACATTCCCGCCTTTTACACTTTCTAGATGAAATTACCTTGCAAGCTTCCCCTGCCAAAGCCACAGTGGGTCAACGCCTAGAGCTGACGTGCAACTTCGATAATCCGCGGAATGAAGAGCTTCTCTATACATTTGTGATCTACAGGTTTGTTGATTCGTCACTTTGTTGGGTTTTGTTTGTTTGTTTGTTTGTTTGTTCGTATGGTTGGTTCGCTAGGCGTGCCGGCTTGTGTGTGTGTGTGTGTGTGTGTGTG